TGCAAAGAAATATTTGAAGTTCCCCAGTGGAGATGTCACCTTCCCAGGACACTGTAGTCTCCCCTAGGAACGTGATGTAGAACCAGACCTCTAGGGTCTGAGACATAGGGCAGCATCATGTACTGAGAACCAGTAACAGCTACGACAACTGTGGCTCTGCCCCCAGCAACACATTCCTGGAACAGTCCATTCAGATCCTAGGGATGTCCCAGGCCTCTATCTTCCCAAGTCCTCGGACTCATTAACTCATTCATTCCATGTTTATCTAATGTACATCTAACATATGCCATGCTGTACTAGGCCCTGGGGATAGAGCCGAGGACAGAGAAAGCTTGGTCCCTGCTCTCAGGGAACTTACAGTTGAGTGTAACAAAGTCTGTGATAAGTTGAGTAGAGGGGGCTGTAGGACCTGAGACTTAGGACCCCTTAGCCAGTTCTGCAGAATCAGGGGATGTGTGTGGAGATGTGTTCAGTGGAGGAAGAGCTTTGGGCAGACAGAACAGAGTAGATGTAGGCCTGGAGGCCAGAGGGAGCCTGGCAGGTTTAAGGATGAGAATAAAACTTGGCAGGGCTGAAGCCTCACCTGTGAGGGGTGCTGGAGGTGAGAGCTGTGGGAAGGGAAGTAGAGGCCTGGCCATGCACTGGCTTTCTTCACAATACTCATCACCACCTGGTTTGCCTCAGCCTGTCACCCCAAGTAGTGCGGGAGACCCTCTGAGAAGGTTGTTGGTCTGGTTCACCTGCACAGCCTAGAATAGCATCTGACACATAACAGGAGCTCAATAATATGTGCTGGATGAATAAGTATATGGAGAGGTGGTAGATGGATGGATGGATTGATGAGTGGATGGATGGGTAGACAGATGGACAGATGGATGGATGGATGGTAGATGGGTGGATAAATGGATGTTGGATGATTGGTGATTGATTGTGGATGGATGGGTGAATGGTGCTGTATGGATGGGTGGACAGGTAAGTGGACAGTGGATGGATGGATGGGTGGATGGTGGATAGATGGTGATGGATAGATAGTGGGTCGATGTATGGTGGATGGGTGGATGGATGGTGATGGGTATGGATGGATGGATGGATGACTAGGAGGATGGATGAGTGAATACTGATGGATGGTGGATGGATGGTGATTGATGGATGATAGATGGGTGGGTGGGTGGATGGATGGATGGATGGATGGGGGAGGCATCATGAACCATGTCACTGAATCCTACATATATAGAATATCAGGCTTGGCATGGAGATCTATAGCTCAGCAAGTCAAACACCTCCCTGCCTTTCTACCTGCCCCAAGGCTGCTGAGTCCAGCATGCAGGGGTGGAAAGAGAAGACTGAAATCCTTTAAACCCCATTAATATGCAGATCCAGGTGTGTCCCTTGATGTGAGCAACAGAGCAGTCTGAACCTCTGTGTTTATTTCCAAATGACTAACACAAAACTTGGGATCTCCGGTAGCGTAGTGCCTAAGGCACTTGACTGCTAACCAGAAGGTTGGTGGTTCAAACCCACCAGCCACTCCTTGGAAGGAAGGTTGAGCAGTCTACTTCCGTAGTGATACTGCCTCGGAAACCCAAGGAGGGGTCGCTATGAGTCAGGTCTGATTCCACGGCACACAACAACAACACAGAACGTCAGTTTAGAAGTAGTTGGCCTGCTTGTTTTCCTTTAGGATTTATGCTCCATACACGGTGTTGTTGTTGTTACGTGCCGTAAAGTTGGACCCAACTCATAGTGATCCCACCTTGGGTTTCCGAGGTACTATCACTACGGAAGTAGATTGCTCAACCTTCCTTCCGAGGAGTGGCTGGTAGGTATGAACCTCCAGATTTCTGGTTAGCAGTCAAGTGCCTCAGGCACTAAGCTACCAGAGCTCCTCTATACATGGCGGGGACCAAAAAAAAAGTCTATTAATTGGAAGGCAAGAAGCATGTAAGGCAAATATAGTGTGTGCTCAACCACAGGCTCCTGATATTCAGAGGAATGAAAGCAGCTGCCTAATCATCTTCATGGAGTAGGTAAGAATCCAGGCAAGAGAAAAAGGTAACCCTGAAATACAGCTTAGCCACTAATTATGAGAAAACAGAAAATAAAAACATTTCAACTAAAACAAAACTCTCTGTTCTCATGGAGTTTAAATTCTAGCAGAGGACACAGGTGTTAGCAATTCATTTCAAAATCAGTTAATATTTAATGGCTGAGGATAAGAAATGCAGAGAGGTAAAGAGCGTAATGGAGAGGAGACCTGAGGGACCCAGGGGTTCAGGGAAGGCTTCTGGAAAGAAGAGCTATCCAGTCAAGACATGGAAGATGACAAGGAGCTAGATGGAATGAAGGTGGGAGCAAGAACATCCAGGCAACCCCAAGGCAAAGGAAGCTGTATCATTCCACCACTCTTCTGTCAGTTTGTTGTTCTGTGGTGACTTGTGTTGCTGTGATGCTGGAAGCTATGCCACCAGTATTTCAAATACCAGCAGGGTCACCCACGCTGGACAGGTTTCAGCAGAGCTTCCACATTAAGACAGATTAGGAAGAAGGACCTGGCAACCTACTTCTTGAAAAACTGGCAACTTGCATAGCAGCAGAACACTACGTGATACAGTGCTGGAAGATGAGCCCCTCGGGTTGGAAGGCACTCAAAATACCACCAGGGAAGAGCTGCCTCTCCAGAGTAGAGTCAACCTTAATCATGTGGATGGAGTAAAGCTGTCAGGACCTTCATTTGTTGATGTGGCATGACTCAAAATGAGAAGAAACAGCTACAGACTTCCATTAATAATGAGAACGTGGAATGTACAAAGTATGAATCTAGGAAAATTGGAAGTTGTCAAAAATCGAATGCATAAACATCAATATCCTGAATTCTGCTGGCATAGTCCCTAAAGTATCTGACTGCTAACCAGAAGGCTGGCAGTTCAAACCCACGAGCCACTCCTTGGAAGGAAGACTGGGCAATTTACTTCCACAGATATACCACCGTGGAAATCCAAGGAGGGGTTGCTATGAGTTGAATCGACTTGACGATAGTGAGTGAGTGAGGCATTCACTAATGCCTGAAATGGACTGCTATTGGCCATATTGAATCAGACAAATAAATGGTCTACTATACTGGGAATGACAAATTAAAGAATGACATTGGATTTATCGTCAAAAAGTACATTTCAAGATCTATCCTGACATAAAATACTATCAGTGATAGGAAAATATCCACATACCTACAAGGAAGACTGGTTAATGCAACTAACATACAAATTTATGCACCAAGCACTAATGCCAAAGGTGATGAAATTGAAGATTTTTACCAACTTCTGCAGTCTGAAATTTATCAAACGTCCAATCAAGATGCATTGATAATTACTGGTGATTGCAATGCTTAAGTTGGGAACGAAGGATCAGTAGTTAGAAAATATGGTCTAGGTGGTAGAAATGATGCTGGAGATCATATGGTAGAATTTTGCAAGACCAATGATGTATGTGTATATGCAAACACATACACATACATCTCACCAGATGGAATACACAGGAATCAAATCGACTACATCTGTGGAAAGAAATGATGGAGAAACTTAACATTAACAATCAGAACAAGGCCAGGGGCTGACTGTAGGACAGCCCATCAATTTCTGCCATGCAAGTTCAAGTTGAAACTGAAGAAAATTAAATCAAGAGCAGCAGAGTCAAAGTGTGACCTTGAGTGTATCCCACCTGAATTTAGAGATGATCTCAAGAATAGATTTGATGCACTGAACACCAATGACTGAAGATCAGATGAGTTATGGAATGACATCAAGGACATCATACAGGAAGAAAGCAAAAGATCATTAAAAAGAAAGAAAAGACAAAAAATTGATGTCAGAAGGAACTCTGATATTGCTCTTAAATGTTGTTAGGTGCTGTCAAATTGGCTGACTCATAGTGACCCTACGTACAACAAAAAAAACACTGCCCGGTCCTGTGCCAGCCTCACAGTCCTTGCTATACCAGAGTCCATCATTGCAGCCACTATAAATCCATCTCATTGAGGACCTTCCCTTTTTTTGCTGACCCTCCACCTTACCAAGCATGATATCCTTTTCCAGGGAATGGTACCTTCTGACATGACCAAAGCAGGTGAGACAAAGTCTGGCCATTCTTACTTCAAGGAACATTCCAGCTACACTTCTTCCAGGGCAGATTTGTTTTTCTTCTGGCAATCCATGGTACCTTCAGTATTCTTTGCCAACACCACAACTCAAAAGCATCAACTCTTCTTCAGTCTTCCTTATTCATTGTCCAGCTTTCACCTGTGTATGAGGCTACTGTAAACATCATGGCTTGGGTTAGGCGCACCTTAGTCTTCAAAGAGACATCTTTGCTCTTCAGCACTTTAAAGAGGTCTTTTGCAGCAGATTTGCCCAGTACAATACGTTGTCTGATGTCTTGACTGCTGCTTCCGCTGGTGTTGATTTTGGAACAAAGTAATGTGAAATCTTTGACACTTTCAATCTTTTCTCCATTTATTGTGATGCTGCTTATTGGTCCAGTTGTCAGGATTCTCGTTTTGGACTTAGACCTTCCTAAACTGTGAGAATAAATGTCTGTTTGCTGAAGCCACTCATTTGTGGTATTTCTGTCATAAGCAGCACTAGAGAACTAACATACAGGGAAGGGGAGGGCTTAAAGAACAGGTACCTTCTGTGCATGCAAACAACAGGCCAGACCCAGCACACACAGGAAGGTGGAGCCACAGAGCACACCAAGTTTTATTTACAAACATCACAGAATCCCCTCACATACTCGTATACCCCACTCTGGAGCGACCCCTCACTTTCTGCTCCCAGGAAGCCGAAGCCTGGGTCCACCTACCCTGCCAAACCAAGGAAGATGGGGCCCAAGTCCACTTCCAGCCAAGACAGAGCAGGGGCTCCCCACCACCACCATGGCTCCCACAGCCTATAGGGAAGAGACTGTGGGGATGGCAGGGGTGCTGCCCTCCTCCAAGTGCTCAGTCCTCAGGGCTTCTGCCATGGAGTGCCGTGCCAGGTAACCTGGGGTTCTAACCAGATTGGGGTGGGGGGCGGAGCCTGCGTTGGTAGTGCCTGGATGATGAAAGGTGAGTGTCAAAGGTCATCCCAGTTACAGCCTCACCCCCTAGTCCCTCCTGGATCTGAATCAGGGTCACCTTCCTGGGGTAAGGGTAGGTGGGCGGGGCAGCCGGCAGGAGTCAGTGGAGCCTTGAGGGGTGCTTGGGTAGAGGCCAGGAGGAAAGAGGCCCTGCAGAGAAATGTTTCCAAGCCCTGGACTCTCCACCACTATTCCACCCCCAAGGGGACTCTGCATTTTCCAGGCCTACTCCAAGGTACCTATCCCTCCCCAGGGCACCAGACCATACCAGGCGGGTAGGGCTGGCGGCAGAAAGCTTCCGGTGCTGAGCCTCTGAGGAGACACAGGACCAGAGGTCCAGGTTCCTGGGCGCTGAGCTTTTCTCTGGCTTGGGAGGGATGATGTCCCAGCCCAGCAGGCAATGCTATGGAGAGGAAGGCGTTAAACACTCCTGAGGCAGGGCAACAGCCATGACTCCAGCTGACAGGGTCTATCCCCCAGGAAGGGGTTGTGTCCCACCCATCAGGTTGGAGGGACCCACTGACCAGAAACAGCCTCCTCCCTCAGTCTCCCAAGGAATGGGTGCCTCCCCCCTCAGACTGACATTCCCCCAGAGCAGGGACCTGTGTCCCCTCACTGTGTGACCCCAGCCCTCACTTTCCTAGCCCTGCTGGCCCCCCACCCCTGGTACTCCCAAACCCAAATCAGGAGGGAGGATGCTGACAGGAACTGGGTGTGTCCTTCATGGTGAGATCCACCTCATATGACTGACCATTGTTAATTCCCTAAACTGTCTACCTTATCCCATCATCCCGTAAGGATGGTGCTGTCACACCCACATTTTCCTCTGCATCCCTCTCCTCCTCCCAACCCAGCCCCCCTGCCCACAATCGGCGGAGAGAGGGCCTGGCCCCACTCCTGTCCAGGGGACACAGAAAGAGCATGTATAGGGAGATGTTATAGGAGAAAGACCCAGATTCAAATTCCAGCTCTTGCAACTGCTGACCTGGGACAAGTCCCTCCCCCTCTTTGCTTCAGCTTCCTGTCTGTAAAGTAGGGTTAACAGTACTTGCCCTCTTGGTTGCAGAGGGGCTCAATGAGATAATCCTAAGATGGCATGTGTGGCCCACAGAAGATCTCAATAAATGGACCTATTCTTGTTACAGCAACATGGGGCAGACACAAATCCTGGAGGCTGTGGAGCATAGGGTGCCCCACCTCCTAGCCAGGACTCCAAAGACTTTGAGTTCCCACCTTCCCCAAACCCAGCATCACTGTGTGGCCTTGGGGCAGACTCTGACCGTCTCTGGACCTCAGGATCCAGTTGGTGACCTGTGCCAGATGGGACAGCACCCCCACCCCCGCGGCTCACCCGAGGCAGGGCCAGGGTGTCAGAGGCGTCGAAGCTCTTGCGCCGGTGGATGCGGTAGCGGTGTGGGGGGTCCAGGACGGACACTGGTATGCTCACCCTGGGAAGAGGGTGCAGTGGGCATCAACATAGGCGCCTCTGGCTGCTGTGGGCTATAGCTCCAGCCACCAACCTTCTGCCCCAAAACTGGCAGGATGCGGTGGGAGGGAGAGCAAAGCCTTCCCGACTTAGATGCTGCTCCACCCATGGCTGGCCCCCACCACTCACCTGACCTGTGCTGGTTCCTCCAGGGTCTCAGGGCCATGCTGATCCCGTGGTGTCCTGCATAGGCGGCAGGGGGTGCCAGGATCCGCAGGTACCAGAAACAGGCGCCGGTTGACACGGTAACAGTACACACCTGTGAGGCCCGTGAGAAGCCACACCCTGACCCAGGGTCCTCAGGTCCTGGGCCCCCTTCTGCCCCGACCTCACTGATACGATTGACCCCTCTGAGCTCATAAGCCACCCCCAGGCACATACAAATGTGTGCACACAGGGCACACAGATACACACATGCTCACATGTAAAAATACTGAGCATGTGACAAACACACATACATACACACACACCAAGCACAAATGGGCATCTTCACGTGTACAGATATCATGTGTACAAACACAAAGCACGATCTTACATAGTCACCTTCATGGACATACATGCGCAGGCATATAGTGAAAATCACACACATATACAGTGTATACCAAAGTGCATTCATATGAACACACCAATACACTCCTCACACACATGTATGTACAAACTTACATTCATGGTCCTCATCCACATTGCTGCTCTCACAAAGGCTGAGGAACTGGGATCTGTAAGGGTGAGAGGGGTGAGCAGGCCAGGGCAGGGACTCCACAGGGAGTCCTCAAGCCACCCTGGCACAGCCCTCACCCATCCTGCTCACTCAGGGTCACTGAAGATGCACTCCTCCTTGTTGGTTTCCCGGAACTTTTGCAGCTTTGAGAAGAAGACCTCAGACTTGCCAGTGACAGGAGAGGTGCTGTCCAGAGATCCTGGTGGGCAGAGCACGGGGGAGCTGAGGGGCAGCCGGGGCCTGCGGTATGGCCACTGATCCAGGCTTAGGGATACCAGCCCTAGCATCCCTAAGTCCTCCTGCTTTGGGGGCCCCCCTTGCCTCACACTGACCTGGAGGTGCCTCCACTCACTGGGAGTGCTGTCTTTAAGTCAGTTGTCTGTCTGCCCTGACATTATTCAACTGCCCATTCAAAAACCATAAAAAAAATTTAGAACCCCTACTAACAAGTCCTGGTGGTGCAGTGGTTAAAGCGTTCATGTGCCACTAACCAAAAGGTCAGTTCAAACCCACCAGCCGCTCTGTGTGAGAAAGGTGTAGCAGTCTGCTTTCATAAAGATTTACAGCCTTGAAAACCCCATGGGGCAGCTCTACTCTGGCCTATAAGGTCAATGAGTTGCAATGTACTTGATGGAAGTGAGTTTGTTTTTGTTTTTTTTTAAACCACGTACCTGAGTGTTTCATGTGCTAGGGAAACACCAGTGAACTAGACAAAGCCCTGCCCTTATGAAGCCCACATTCTAATATGGTGAGGCACATGAAGTAAGGACCTAAGAAATCTATGACAGAACTAAAGAGAGCAGAGTCAGGATGCTGACAGTGGCAGTGCGGGGGTGGCCAGGGAAGGCCTCTCTGAGGAGTTGACACCTGAGCAGAGACCTGATGGAGGGAGCCACATGGACATCCCAAGGAGCACACTGAACGCAGACAGAATAGCAAGTACAAAGGCACTGAGGCAGGCACATAGTTGGTACGGTTGAGGAGCAGCAAGGAGGTAGAAGTGGCCAGCAGGGAGTGACGGGCGAGTACTGGGGAGATGAGGTTGGGGAGCCCTGAGGGTTCTGGGCCAAGGAGTGATGCAATCAGATCGGCTATGTATTTTTATGCGATTCCTCCTCTAGTTTCTGTGTTGTGAAAGGAAGCAGGGGCCTGTAAGGAGGCTGCTGTAGGTATCCTGGCAGAGACAGCTGATGCGCGAAGTACTTTAAAGGTAAGGCCAACCAGATTTGCTAATGGACTGGATGAGGAATATGTGAAAGGAGAGAATCAAGGTCGATTCCAAATTATGGCCTGACCTCAGGTACAGAGTTTCCATCTACAGAGGAAAGAAAGACTGTAGAAGGAACAGAATGGAAGTCAGGACCTTGACTTTGGATATAAGACTGGGCAATTGGGAGTCCCCAGTGGTGCAGATGACTAACGTGCCTGGCTGCTAACTGAGAAGTTGGCAGTTCAAGTCCACCCAGAAATTCCTTAAAAAAGAGACTTGGCAATCTACTTCCGAAAGGTCACGGTCCTTCAAAACCACGTGGCATACAGTTCTACTCTGACGTGCAGGAGGTAGCCATGAGCTGAAATCAACTCGACAGCAACTGGGAGGTTAACAGTCAACGACATAGGGAGACAGTCAAACATGCAAGTCTGGAATTAAGAGGTGTGGCCAGAAAGAAAAGCACAGAGAGCAAGGGAAGCCGCTGCACTGGGTGGGATCACAGAAGGAGGGAAGGCAGGTGAAGAGCCCAGGGCCTCAGGGGCAGCTGGGACAGGGAAGGGGGTCCAGCAGACTCCAGGAAGGAGCAGTCAGTGAGACAGCAGAGACTCGGGGAGCTCTCACCCTGGAAATCAAGGGTCTCGGGGAAGAGAGAAGGCCCCATATCCCATGCTGCTCATGGACCAAGTAGGGGGTAAGACTGAGACCTGAGTCCAGGGGTTGGCAATACAGAGGTCAGTGATGGCTTGGACAAGGGCAGCACCAGTGGAGTGTCAGGGCTAAAGCCTGAGTTAGGAAAAAGTGAGGGGAGGAATTAGAGATGGCAAGTTTAGACAGCCTTGTGAGTTTTATTATAAAGACACAAACCAATAAGCAACATCCTGACAAATGGAGAAAACACTAAAGTTGTCAAGGATTTCATTGTACTTGGATCCACAATCAACACGCATGGAAGCAGTAGTCAAGAAATCAAACAACATATTGCACTGGGCAAATCTGCTGCAAAAAACCTTTTAAAAGTGCTAAAAAGCAATGACACTTTGAGGACTAAAGTGCCCCTGACTCAAGCCATGGTCTTTTCAACCACTTCATATGCAGGCAAAAGCTGGACAATGAGTAAGACTGAAGAACTGCTCCATTTGAATTATGGTGTTGGTAAAGAATACTGATATATCACGAACTACCAGAGGAACAAACACATCTGTCTTGGAAGAATTATAGCTAGAATGCTCCTTAGAAGGGAGGATGGTGAGACTTAGTCTCACATACTTCAGTCATGTGACCAAGAAGACCAGTCCCTGAAGAAGGACATCATGCTTGGTAAAGTAGAGGGTCGGCGAAAAAGAGGGAGACCCTCAATGAGATGCACTTACACGGTGGCTGCAACAATGGGCTCAAACACGGCAATGACTGTGAGGATGGAGCAGGACCACCAAGCTGTGTTTGGTTCTGTTGTACAAAGGGCCGCCAAGAGTTGGAATCGACTCCATGGCACCTAACTACACTATAAAGAAAAGCAGAGACTGGCCATAACTAGAAGCAAATGTAGGATCAAGGGAGAAGGTTTTCATCAGGAAGGAAAATCACAGACTGCGGCTTTGCCCTCACTCGATGTGAAGGTGGCATTTACAGAGGCAGGAAGGCAGAGGGAGGAGCAGGTGAGGCAGAAGTCAGGATTTCCAGATTCTGGACAAGTTTGATATGACACCGAGCGGGTGACATGTAGGGACAGTGGTGGTTCAGTGGTAGAAAGCTCACCTTCCAAGCCAGAGCCCCAGATTTGAATCCCAGCCACTGCACCTCATGCACCACCACCCATCTGTCAGTGGAGACGCATGGTGCTATGATGCTGAGCAGGTTTCAACATGGCTTCCAGACTAGGGAAGACTAGGAAGAAAGGCCTGGCAATCTGCTTCAGAAAATCAGCCAATGAAAACGCTATGGATCACAAGTCTGATCCGCAACCAATCATGGGATGGCATGGGACCAGGCAGGGTTTTGTTCCATGATCTGATTCCCATGTTCAAAAACCTGGTCTGGCTGTTGTGTTGAAAATGGATTATAACGGGCAAAAGAGGCCAGAGAGAGACCAGCCAGGAGGCCACTGAAGTTGCTCAGGGGGAAGTAAGATTTAAAAAGATGACCCATGTACAGAGTTTTGCAGTGTCTGGTACATAAGTGCTCCAAAGTACAGAGGTTCCGATTCATTCATTCATTCAACAAACATCAGCTGAGCACTGTCACTGTGCTTGTCACTGCAGCAGGAGCTGAGAGAACAGACATGGTGCTGAAGATGCTCACCGAGGAGGGGAGCAGACAGACAGACAGACAGCAGCAGCACTCGACAGAGACTCAGGCAAGTTCACAGGCAAGCTGGGACCCCACTCCTCACTCTCAGGAAACCATGGGCACAGGGGAGGGCCACACCTGCGATCCAGTCGTAGCCCAGGTATGGCCTGAGGCGCCAGCTCCACTCAGGCATGGCAGGCTCCTTTCTGAAGGTCACTCTGGGCTGAAGAGGGAGGTAGAGAGGGGCAAGGGCTAAGCCAATAGACCTGGCCCAAAGGAGGCCCCACCCTGAGTAAAGAAAAGGGCTGTGTCTTAACTCATACCCTGACAGAGGCCCTGGGGCTCAGGAGCTGCAAAATAAAAAGTGTGGCCCCATCTGTCTGATTACAGCCTTGGAAACCCTATGGGGCAGTTCTCCTCTGTCCTGTAGAATTGTTATGAGTCACAATCGACTCATCCGCATTGGGATATGTGACCTGGCCTTTGCACCTCAGCTTCCTATCTGTAAAATGGAGGCTCATCATTTTCTTCCCAAAGTACTGGCTGAGAAACTAATGGCCACCACTTACCAAGCACCTAGGCTAAGCCAGACATAACTCACATGGTATCTCCCAGAAGCCTCACAACCTACAAGAGAGGCTGCCTGTGAGCCTGTCTGTCAGATAGAGAAAGTGATGCTTGAAGAAGATCGCATTGATACATGCCCTGCCAGCCCAGTTACCTTGGATGGCTTGCTTTGTCGAGGAGTCAGGATGCACTTCACGGCCTGCTGGTGCCCCGGATTGCCCAGCTCTGCTGAAAGCTCTGGATTATTCAAGTCCGAGGTGACCAGCAAGGGTGCAGAGTGAGGTCTTGGTCGGCCCAGGCACTTCTGGTGTTGGCAGCTGGGAGCTGGGAGAGAGACTGCCAGGGAGCTAGTCCCGCCAGGCCAAGCCAGATCACAGGGGCCATCCTGGGGGGTGCCCGGTAGCGAGGAGGCTCTCAAAACTGTGGAGGTCGTCTCCTGGGATAATGGTGTCTCCACATCATGGCTGCTGCTGGAGTCCAGGCTTGACTGGAGGAGACGGGGCTAGATCAGGGAGTAGCCTGGCTACAGGCCATCCTCCCCGTTGGCCTGCACTATGTATAAAGGCCTTGTTCCTCATCTCTGCTCTAGCCTCAGCAGTGTCCCGAGCCAGCCTCTTCCCTCACTGAGCCTTAGTTTTCTCATCAGTAAAATCTGCACATTGAACCAGGAGACCCTGGAGATCCGGATTCTGTCCAGAGGGTTAGGCAACCCCTTCCTACACCCACCTCAGAGGCTGCCTCTGCCACAGCCTGCCGCATGGCTTCCTGCCCAGCCCACAGCTGTCTCAGGAGCTCCAGGCTGAGCCTCCGCAGCTGTACCAGGTCCTCAGTCTCTACCATCTTGGGCATGTCATCGAGCTTCCTACAGGGACTATCGCTGGCCCCTGGGCTGAGGGATACCCTCAGGGTTGGGTTCCAGGCCCCGTTCTTCTACCTGAAGTCAAGACAGCATGACACAGGGTGAGAAGGGTGCTCTTTGGGCAGAGGCCAGGGTTCAAATCCCCACTCTGATACTCCCTGTGTGGTCTCAGGCAAGTTATTTAACCTCTCTGTGCCTCTGAGGGGAGCCCTGGTGGTGTAGTGCTTAAGGCATCTGACTGCTAACCAGAAGGCTAGCAGTTCAAACCCACCAGCCATCCCTTGGAAGGAAGACTGGGCAATCTACTT